CTCGTCCTGGAAGGCCAGCAGCTCGTCGGGCGCGCCGAGGTCGTCGCCGCCGCCCGCGCCGCCCCCGCCCGAGTCCAGCTGAGGCATGGTGCGCTCTTTCCTCGGGGGCACGGGGGTGCGGGGCACGGAGCCGGCCCGGGAGGCAGCGAGCCCGGAGTCCCGACCTCCGAGCCCGGAGCGCGGCGGGCGGAGCGCAGGCTGACTCCGCCTGGGCGGGCTGCGGGCGCGGGTCGCGGGCGCAGGGCTGAGAGGCTCGGGGAGCTGGCGGGTCCGAACATCAAAGGCGCCGCCGGCTGAGTACCGGGGGCGGGGCGGGGACGCCGGGGGCGGGCCCGGTCGATGGGCGGAGCCATAGCGCCCCGCCCCTCCTCTCCCGGGAGAGGCCGGGACATGCCCAGTGGGTAGAGACTTAAAGGGCTCGCTCTTCCAGGCATAACCTGAGTGAGGCGTCGGAGAAGCCTGAAAAGCATCACACTCCTGAAATGCGGGGACTCTAAAGGAGATTCTTGACCTTGATTCCTCACCTTCAACAAGGGAGTCCCTTCCTGCGCCCAGGTTTCTCCCCCAGCTGCGGAGGGCGCGGAGTTTGTGGGTGCCTTGGAACGGGAGCCAAGGTGTGAGCAGTCTGTGACCCGGGCCCAGTATATCCTGGGCTTGGAACTGGGGGCTTCCTAGAGCTCGGGGGCTGCTCGAGGCTGTGATCGAACACCGGGACGGCAGAGTTAGGACTCCTCAAAACTCCATTCTCTGAAGCGTCTTCCAGCCTTCTGCCAACCTGGTCCCTCCCTCCAGGTCGCCCGCACACAGTGCGAACGCAAGCATATACCCCTCACACATTTATCGAGTGCCTGTTGTATGAGGGACTCATACATTACACATATGTGATGGGCCTCTCAGCCATGTGGCGGCTCCGAGGCGCGAACACAGCCAAGAGGGCAGGGAGGAAATATCCCGCCAGACCCCATTCCAATCTTCCAGCCCCACCCCCCAATCCCACCCCCAACACCTCGCTCAACTGAGTTCCCTGCCTGGAACCTGCGGCCGGGGGAGGGGAGACTTTGGGCAGCTACGTGGGCCACGGGATTCTGACGAGGGGTCAGTGGTCCCAGCAACTTAACCGGGAAGTCGCATTCCCGCGGAGCCCGTTGACTCTAAGCCTTGGCGCAGGCGGACCCTCGCAAGATCTAGGCTGCAGGGTCTGTAGCAGGAGGAGGGCGGGAACGTGAGACACCTTCCATCGCATCTACCAGGCACATTGTGTCATGTCCACGCGGGCCTCCTCAGCACACTTGACCTCAGCTCAGCCACTGCATCTAGGAAAGACATCGGCCCTTTTGGGTTTCGGTGCTGGATCCAGTGTAGACGTTCCCACGTCTCCCGAAAGCAACTGGTGCAGAGGGTATTTAGGAGGCGAGAGCGTCTTGGACGCTTGTCCGGTTCAGAGTCCCACAGGAGTCCTGTAGCGGCGCAAAGCCTGGCCGGAAGAGGGCCGCGCCGCCCCTGCGGATCCAGGCCCAGCCGGGCTGGCTGCGGATCAAAGAGCCACGGCCGCCCTTCTCTGCGTTCAGATCCTATCTGCACCCGCCCAGCGGGGCGCCTTGGCCCCCCCCACCTCAGGGCTAGAGTGCCCAATTTTCCTCCCTTCCCGGTGCTGGAGGGGCGAGGC